TATCATCTACACTTCGCAAAAGCTAATTTTTCATTCCAGTGAACAAAACACATCAACTTTCTTTTTTTTCCCATGTATTAAGTATTTCCTGGACAAACTAGCCTGTATTTGCTTTGTCAAATACCATCACTATCTGTCTGAATAAAATACAAAGGAAACTGTTCTATGTTCATCCTCTTTGTAGTATCCGTATAGTATTTGTCAGATAACAGAATCATAGAAAGCATTAGCATCTATCTGCAAAAAATAAGCTTTTGAATAAGTTTCCTCTGTTTTGATGTACCTACTTAAAAGATATCTGAAAAAAAAAAAAAAAAACCAACCAAAAACCAACAGAGATTCAACTCTTATCATTCAGTGAATTATTTAAAATCTTCTGCAGTCTTGCATCTGTGCTGGAGAACTCCTTCAGCTTTCTTAGCAGATGAAAGCACAGGATTTTGAACCACAGCATACATATCAGATTGTGTGCTTCTTCATCTTCTGGTTATACTTCAAATGCTACCACTTAAGTCTAGTGATTTCAGAAGAATATTCCTCCTGTTTGAGAGGCATATATATGCCATTAGCACGATCAATTCACATAATAAAAATGATACAGTCATAAACATGAAGGAAAAAACAGCATTTTTCTAGAAGTTCAATAATGGCATTCTGAAATGTTCTGCTGTGCATAGTAGAGTCAACAGAACACAGAGCTACAGCACTGGAGGGATTCTAAGGCAGAATATCCAAGTATCTGTACTTCATGCTTTGTACAGGTTTCTGACTGCAGTGCCTGGTACTCAGCCTTGCTCCTCGTATTCTAATGGGATGAGGCAGTGCAAGACATATTAGTACTTACCACGTGGGCTGTGGGGATTCACCTGTGCCAGAATGGTAAGGAAACAACCTTTATTTCTGTGCCAGGCATGCCTGGGGAGTGGTCTGGAGAACATAAAGCTTGCAGGCTCCAGGACAAAACTGATACGCAATTGCTCTGTGATGCGTGATTGTGAAACACTACTAAAAAAATGAGACTGCAGCCATTTATGTACAATACAGGCACACAGAGGATCGGGGATAGTTCAAATTCAGCAGAACTGGACCCGTAATTCAAAATTTCAATTAAAAGTGGATTACAAGTACTCGGGTTTACAGTCTGTCCCCAACCAAAGACTTAAGCTGGCCCCTTCCCCAGACCTAGTCTCTTACTTTTGAAGCCTCTACTATGTTTTATTTTGCTTTTGAAACTTTTCATTTATGGAACAGTAAGATTTTCATTTATGGAATATTTCTTTTCTCTGAGGCAGGAACTTGTTTTCACCAAGTAAGCTCCTGACCTACAAAACATTTGAGTGCAGTCCTGCCGTATCTCCGCAGCACAGGAGAAGCCTTACGGCAGTGAAACCGTAACAATCTGCTGCCTGCGTGTCACAGAGCTGTACTCCAAGGAGACGCTCCAGGACCATCCACTGGGGGTAGGATGAGTGACGTCACATGTCCCTGGATCCACTGGCTGTTTTCTCCTAGGGAATGAGGAGAAACAGGAGCTACAGGAAAGCAAGACTATCACTCTGCATTCTGGGTGGCAGCCACACGGTGAGTCCCTAGCTCTTCACATGTGTTCATTCAGTTGCAACTGTCTGCACTTGCACAAAGCCACTCCAGGAGTGTGGCACAATATCTGGCCTATATGCATCCACACACAGTATTTTGCTTTGGCACAGTTCAATTGGGCTGTAAAATATATCTAATGTGTATCATGCGGTTTTGACAAAATCCCCAGTACAGGAAAACGTGCAGAATTATGGCAGGCAATTAAATGTTAGCACTTTGACTAAAGCACCAAATGAGAAGCTTACAGGAGAACATCTATGTGCTTAAAATCACATTTTATACTTGATGATCCACTTTCACATTTGCTTGTCAAAAAACTACATCACCTATATTTGTGGAATTTATTTAAATAAAAGTCAGAGTGTTACCTGGACAAAAATACTGCTTATTTCTCTTCATTTTTTGTACCCAGATCACACAGTGGTGGTTGACTCAAACATCTTTCTCCTAATGAGCAGAACTTTGTTTCTTTTATAATGCCTTGAAACTTTAAAATGATACAGTAACTGGAATCAAATAAAGCAGAATATCCTAAAAATCACTGCTAAAAGCACAGCAACTCAAGAGGCTCATTTAGTCATTGTGACTGATTCCTGAATATGCAGTCAAGCTGATCGCATCTATCTTTAAATGGCATAATAGAAACAATTACTATCAACATAGGGCAAAACCAGTTATAATACAGCTAAATAAATAAACATTTATTTATTTATTCTGATGATTACATTCAGTCTTACCACTGTTACGAGAGTTTGTAAAGAATGTAAGATATTTTTCAACTACTTATGTGCACGTATGCATATATGGAAAGAGAATGCCAGTGTCAGTGGGGAACCGAAGAGGAACAGGGAAAGTTAAATTTGCTATTCAATATTAGCTTCCCTTTCCCCTGCTCTGGCTTTATATTTGTTCCTTCAGGTTTCTCTGCACTGAAATGAAAAGATTTCACAGGAATTCAAATCAGTACAGCAGGCTAAATATGACTCCCCATGTTTTCAATAATTACCATAACTAAAGATGTCCGTAGAATAAAGCCTAGGCTGGGTCTCTGTTGCCTATTACTAGGTAGCTATTCCCATCACTTCACATGAGATGAACTATTAAATGTTGTTTATTGGTGATACCATAAACCAACTCTAATAGACAATACTATTCCCATGATTTAGAATAAAATGTTTTAAAAAGTCCTCTGTAAATGCTGGAGAGGAAAGATGCTGCTTAATAAGCAGCAACTTTCAGAGTATCATAGAATCATACACTTGTTTGAGTTAGAAGGGACCTTTAAAGGCCATCTAGACCAATTCCTCTGCAATGAACAAGGGCATCCACTGCTAGATCAGGTTGCTCAGAGCCTGGTCCAGCCTGACCTCGAATGTCTCCAGGGACCAGACATTCACCACTTCTGTGGACAACCTATGCCAGTGCTTCACCACCCTTGTTGTAAAATAACTTATTTGTTATATCCAGTCTAAATCTCCTTTCTTCTATTTTGAAACCATTTTCCCTTCTCCATCACAACAGGCCCTGCCACAGATTTTGTCTCCTTCTTTCTTATAGCCCCCCTTCTATCAAAAGGCTGCTTTTAGTTCTCCCCAGAGCCTTCTCCAGGCAGAACAGCCCCAGTTCTGTCAGCCTGTCCTCACAGGGCAGATGTTCCATCCCTTGGCTCACTTTTGGGCCCTACTCTGAACGCATTCCAACAGGTCTATGTCTCTCCTGTACTGATAACTCCACATGTGGACACCAAACTCCAGGTGAGGCCTCACCAGCACAGAGCAGAGGGGCAGGATCACCTCCCTTGACCTGCTGCTCACACATCTTTTAATGCAGCCCAGGGTACGGTTGGCTCTCTGGGCTGTGAGGGCACACTGCTGGCTCATGTCCAGCTTGCCATCCACCAGTACTCACAAATCCTTTTCAGCGGGTCTGTGCTCATCTCTTTTGTCCCCATTTTTTTGGTAGTGGGGGTCGATCCAGGTGCAGAGCTTGCACTTGGATTTGTTGAACCTCATGAGGTTCTCCTGAGCCCGCTGCTCAAGCCTGTCTGGGACTCTCTAGATGGCATCCTGTCCCTTGTGAATGACATGCTGATGGCTGGACTCGATGATCTTTTAGGTCTTTTCCAAGTGAGAAGCTTCTATGTATTTGAAATACTTATGATGGTAACCTGGGTAGCATCACAGTGCCTTTTGGCCTTTACAACAGATTTTAGTTGTTGAAAAGTGCCGTGCAAGAGAATAACAACTCTTTTCAACTTAAGAAATGAGAAGTCTTTAAATATACACAGATGTACCCACTGAGGATGAAATTTGCATAAGTAGGCTGATTCGGTGAAGCATAACTACTCAGCACGTATGCAATAAGCAGTCAGTTGCCCATGTCAGGTTTCTTGTATTCTTATTTTAAAGTCCCGATAAAAGTCTGGAGTGTATGAAAACTAACCAGATGAAATTCCAAATATGCATTTCATGGGATTTCATCTGCAAAAAGTTGGCAGGTCTCTTCAAGCCACGTGGCATGACCTAAGGATTGTTTTGTGGGAATTACCCTGACAGAGACTATTTTCATCGTACAGTCTACAAAAAGCAAAAACCTAATCATTTTTCTCACTCCGCTTACTTCCAGAACAACAAAAACAAAACCATCACCCTTTCCCCCCAAAAAGTGCTCTCAGATAAGAATCATTTCAGATTAAAAGAAATAACCTAAATTTGCTCTAATACAAGCCTACTTAGAATTCAGCTAGCATGAATATTTTATTCTCACTTGGTAGTTACCAACAAAATCTTCCAAAAATAAATTGGCATACTTGTTTCTAAGCATTTCTGCATGAAGCATTTATACTGAGCACTCTGATCTCCTTACACACTACATTTTTCATTGCTGCCCAAGGGTGGGACCAATGTGTAGCACTACTTCTACCCTGAGAGAGTCAGCTATGTAAAGGATGACTTGATGAGGAATCCCCACACCACCTCCAGCTGAGCCCAACACACTATAATGGTGTGATGCAAATTCAGATTTAGTACTCAAATCCAATGTACCATCTGGGGCCAGAAGTCAGACTGAGGGGTGTCAGCATCCCAGCAGAGAACTCAACAGGTTCACAATTTGTGGGTACACACGTCAGTTTGTGCAGGAGTTTGTTAGCTCCAAAAAGCAGAAGATTCCTTGTTTCAACATGTCTCTGCCACCAATGCAAAATAAAATAATCTGCAGAGGCCTCTTGGGCAGGCAGTAGAGAGAAAGGCAACTCCTGTGGTCTCTTCCTCACTCTTAATGTCAGTTATGCCTGCAAGTTACTCAGGATACTAAAGAATTATCAATGCCATGTATTTCTCTAAGCAACCGTTGTTATCTCTTATTTTTACTATTAGATAATAAGGAACATATTTTATTACCATTAGCAGGAAGATAGGTGAAAAGCTGGTACTGGCTTCTCTTTCTCTTTCCATTGCAGACATAGAAGTTGACCTGGACAGGGCTGGTAATTCTCTGATTGCGGAAAGGTGGTATCTCAACCACCAATGAATTCTGCAAATACAAATAAATCAGAGAGTCAGGGCATGACTAAGGCAGACAAATTGTACAATAGTATTTATATGTTAACTCTGAGAAGACTGGTCTCCCAAGGAGAACTGCACTCTCCGCATGGAACTGGTGGGTTTCATGCACAGGGATTGCCTCCTGCTGCCTACAATGTCCTTTGTGCAGACAATTGCTACAAGCTCCTTCCAGCTCTGAGCCATCCAGCATAAGCACCCAGCACTGGTGGGCAGGACAGGCACCCTTGATGTGGGGGTGAGATGCTGCGAAGGACTTGGCTTTAGACTGGTCTGCACAGCTAAGGGGGCACATTTAACAGCATGCTAGTTTTCAGAAGTCCTGGGGCTTTCCTCTGCCTCTCTATCCAGGGCTGTCGAGTTTGTGAAGGACATCGCAGTGGATGAGACACAGGCTGACCAGGTTCCTGTTATGATGCATTTACCATACACAGATTAGCACAGGAGGTCAGCTGGGACATCTGCATACACAGACAGCAGTGGCATACTTCTGGAGAAGGGCTGAGAAGAGCCTCACAGGTGAGGTCAAGCAGTTCCAAATCAGTAGAACAAAACATGACCCAAACAAAAGGATTTTATAATTGGAAAATTCAATATTAGTATGGCTCAGGTCTTTACAGGTTCACTAGCCATCAGCTCTTTCCTTTACACAAAAATTTGGGCTCAAAATCAAGCTATGGTCCCTAATGTGGCAGTAGAAAGAACAGCTTCTCAGCTGGCACGACAGGCTGTCCTTAGTATATCCTGCTCCAATATAACTTCCTTTGAAAGGAGAATTAGGACAGGGATACAATTATTCTTGTAAATATACTTGTAAATATACAAGTATTTACATTTTTCAAAATGAAATGTATTTGGTGCTTTTTTAACTAACACCTCGGGAAGTTTTAAGCATGCTAATTTCTGTGGATGGGAGATCTTTCAAGAACATCTTGTTCTACAGCAAGGAGCTCTGAAAATCATGCAGATGGTCTTCCACTGTCATAAAACAAGTGCTCCAGCATGGGACTGGTGAGACTTGGCTGCTAGGGCATCAGCTTCCACAAATGCACAGCATAATCTGCTGTGATCGTCAAAACCTCTCTGGCACTTTGATGGAATAAAAGGGAATGGTAATCTTAACATTTGGCCTGCTTTCAGATGAGGTCTTTCAAATGTGTGCCTGCCTGTCTCCAGTAGGTTCACAGCTAACAAACTATAGCATATTGCTACAGAAGTAAAATAGTTGCCATATTTCCCATTTATAGTCATGGCTGAATGAGCCACAGTTCTCCAACCCTGGGTTTGATCTCCTGTGAGAGGACTCAGATTTCGTCTGCTGAAGGTATAGGAAAGCCAGGGAAAATGATCAGAAATTGTTTTGGGAGCAGAGAGGAGAACCAACCCAGCAAGACAGAAGATGAGCAGACAGGGCTGGCCCATCCTGGGCAATGAAAAAATATTTTCCAAATGGTCTCTTCTACTTTTGGGACAGCTTCCAATAAAGGCTTTTTACTCTATGCTCCCATTAAAGAAAGATTTCCAGAAGGGGAGGCCCAAGTACTTGTTCTGTTTCAGGGGGGAGACACACTGCCAAAGCCTTGGAAATCCCTCTTTAGTAACAGTGCTAGAGAAGGCAATATATGTTTTTCATCTTGATGTTAAAATATTTAAGGCAGACTTACTGGCTTGCACATTTCTTTGTCAGTTTTGGCTTCCATTTCCCACACATGGTGACCATCTAAAAGACAAAAGAAAAAAGATATCTACTTCTGTCCTTTTTTCTTCTCCCAAGCCTAAAAAAGAAGGACTTTTCAAAAGATCTCTTTGATGGAAGGGGCATGGCATATATGAAAAACAGCTCTCAGAATACATATCCCAAGCTTTGCCCAACCAGGAAGCCATCTGAGTAACCCGCTACAGAAGCCCATTTAGCATTCTCTTAGGAGCGTACCATAATCTACAGTACAGCGTACTGTGATGTGGGAAAGCCACTGGGATGTTGTTCTGTCACTAATTTGAACAGCACGTGGAACTCTTCTGCAAGTTAGTTTCCCAAACATTTCAGCAAAAATACTGCTACCTGTAAGTTCTTTTGATCACTGTCTATGCAGTCAGTCGTGTTCAACATTAATATTAAACAAAACAAAAATATAACATTAAGAAAGCTCCTCAGCCATCCAGTATTTCAATTTTATTATAATCCTAGTCTGGCTTGACATATTTTTGCTGCTTGGAACAAACAGCAAGGCAATGCTGTTTGGAGATGTAGCTTCTATGCAACATCTAGGTCCTGAAGAGGTCCACCCTATAGTTTGCCATAGCTGTTTTGAGTGGTGTGTTGGGTACTCTTAATTCAATGCATTCATATTTTCAAGCAAAAATGAATTTAAGCCACAACTATCAGTTTCTACTGAGTACCTGCCTCTTGGAATAAATTGGTTTCGTCTGGTCTCTTTTTCTGTGCTTGACACAGAAGTACTTGGTTATTTCCTTCTCCCTTGTGGCTTCAAGATGCAACGGAGAAATTTGAAACAAACAAACAAACAAACAAACAAACATGTAGGGTTTCCACTCTGCAAGCCTAGAAAAAAGACGTGTACGAAAGGCCACAAGCAGACTGAGTTCAGCAGGAGGGACACATGCAGCTTAATGAGTCCCACCACTGTCAGATGTCACTGGACTCGGTGGAAAATCAGACTTTATGTTATCTCTTCTGTGTATTTACTGCAGCATCAGGACATACAAATGCAAACATTAGCTATTTTGAACTTCTTCACATAGATGTGCGCCTGCCTTAGAAAAGCAGCTCTCAGCAAGGTGAAAGAGTAAATGCACTTTCTCTTTTCTCTTCACTTTCATGGCCAGGATGGAGGTGACGCATTTAGAACTGTCTGATTTATTACAAATGTCTGTAAATAGTATTTTTGTGTACAGCTGTCCTACTGTGAAAGGAATGTTGCTGAGGAACTAGCACTGGCGATTGTTTTCACATCCAAAACCAATTCTTTTCAACGTACGGAAAGAAGTGCAACATGAAAGCTGCAACACAAATAGCACATTGGATTTGGCAGGTATTTCTGTAGGAAACAATTAGCAGATCTACCCTTCGTTTCTTCCTACATTTTAAACCACGACACTGGAAAAGGAATCCCTTTAATCGGCACTGCCACGTTTGGGTTGGGAAGAGAAGGCTCAGCCAAACCATGCTCAAATCTCCTTAGCAAAGGCTTCAGGAGTGCCAGCACTGAAGCAGAGTTCTCTGGAAGACGGGTGATCGCTTCACAATTTATCCAACAGATGCTTCCCCCAAGCTGTCAGTAAAAAAAACCTGACCAAGCCATGACATACCTGTTGGCTGGGAGCGGGCTCCTCCACCTCCCTCCCCCTCCTACAGAGAGCCTGCAGCCCCTCACTTCCTCCCCATCCAGTTAATCAATCAGTTGGAAAGGTGACACAACACGGGCACTTATCACATATTCTGCAAAGGCTAGGAACTTTGGCTATGTAAGGGTTTTTGTGTTGTTGTTGTTTGTTTTGTTGGTTTTTTTTTCTTAAATCTAAGGTGTCCAGACTAGTAGTTAATGTGTTCCATTTACCTTCGTAAATGTATTACATTACTTCAGTCTTCTTGCAGTGTTTAATTTCTGCTTTGAGAGACGAATGATCTGATTCAGGTTTCTGGTTTTTATTTCCTGCCAATACTTCAGTAAAATTCAAAATGACTCCAACTATCGCTAATCTTTCAATTACTTCATGCAGCAGTGCCTTTATGTGCTTTTGAAATTTTTATGATGACAAAGAGAGTTTGTTCAGAAATATTTTAAATGCTGTAAGCTAAACTATTAGGAAAATAAAAATCCAGAGCCGTGGTTTGTCTCTGGAAGCTAGTTAAGAACAATACCGTTTTTGCTCCAATAAATTCTCCTGAGACTGTGCAGATCATTGCTGCTTGACGACTGCAGGGAAGGTGAAAGAGAGAGAAGGAGTAGGGAATAGACAACTCATTAACAGCTAGTGACATTTCATTTAACGAAAACACACGGAGGAAAAATTGTTATGAAGCAGAGACTCAAAAAAAGGAAAAAAAAAAAAAAAAAAAAAAGACAATTCCTCATATTACGTCTGGTAAACCAAGAGGGAAATCTCAACGCCCACGGACTGGGATCAGCTCCAGGAGGGAAACCTTAGACCACTACGTCAACCTCTTACAGTAAACATGTTTTGCAGGTTTATATAGTTCATCTGAATTTTTTTTTTTTTTTTAAAGAGAAATTAATAGTGGCTCTGGAACGGTTTGTGGGAGCTCAAAGCACCAGGAAAATCTGCCTCCACCAGAGAAAAGTGCGTTGCCTCCAGTGCCACATGTGCTGAGGACCCTCAGAGGCAGGCGGGATACCGTCTCCCATCAGTGTGCTTGAGGAGTGAGGACTGCTCAACCACAAAAGTTTCCATTGTACGCCTGCCACATCTGCAGCAGCCTGGTTCAGAGCCCAAGGCAACTCCCTCCTGGCTGCCGGCCAACCAAAGTACACCAGAGCAATTTATACCTTTCCAAAATGCAAATAATTCAAATTACAGACATAACACAAAGCTGAAGCAGACACATTTCAGGCATTCCCGTTAAAGTTTACTCTCTGGAATTACTGTACCCAAATGGGCAGTCGTTATATGGGGAAGGGGGAGGTAGAAGGAGGTAGGAGAGGAAGGAGAGGAGGAGGCAAGTAGGAAAAGAGAGAAGGGAGAAAAAGGCTTTTCCAAAGGTCTTATTTCATTCTCTCTCACTTTGCTATTTACTTTTACCAAGTAATAAGAAGTGTCTTCTCCAAACCAAATGTCTGGCTTTGTTTTGGTGTTTTAGGATTTATATTGCAATGTTTTCAACTGAAAGACGCCCCTTTATATAGCTAAAAGGTCAAGGTATTCTTTCGGGTTTGTTTGTTTGCTTGTTTGTTTAGGTTTCTTTCTTTCTTTGATTTACAGAAGGAAAGGAAAAACAAAGCAGCTGCACATAGAATCATGGGGAAAAAGCCCTGCTGAGTAACCAGCAGAGAGCCCCTCTCCCATGATGCCAAAAGCAGCTGATTTGACAAACCAAGACTCCAACAGGGGGCTTGAAGGAGCTCTGAATCCCTCTTCTTCTGGAGAGGCAGCACAAGGAGTGCAGCACATGAAGCCTCATCTCTGACTCTCTGACTGTGCCCACCTGACCCGGGTTTGGCACGGAGCTGTGCTTCATTCACAGGTGGCCATCAGCACTGTTGGCAGCTGAAGACATTGAGTTTTGTCAGAAAGCCTCGTGTTTAAAGACCCATCTCTGCGCTGTGCTGGTATTTATAGCAGTCTCTGCTTTGGGTGTACTTCACCATGATTCATTTTTTTCAGCACTCAGAGCACCTGGGATTATGAATGATGAAATGCCGTGAACCTACCATGTTACTTGGGGTGGATTTGCAGCTCTGCAAAATACAAACACCCAATTTTGAAAGGGAGCAGCTCAACGATGAATGGGTCTTTGTAGTCTGCTCTTATCAAGTGCCCACTCCGATGTTAAAGGAAACTGTGCAAAACTCCAGAAGTAAAAATACTCTAATTCATTAGGGAATTCCCTGCAGTATGAGTCACTGAACGGCTTCCCCACCACACCCAGCTAAAAGATTTCCACATAAAAATGCACTGTAGGAGCTTGTTTTAACACAGAAGCAGCATGAAAAAAGTGGTGTAAACTCACACGTAAAACCTAGCAGACCGCAACATATGTACGAGGGCTGCTCTGAAAGTAATGCCTCCTATTTTATTATGTTGGCAGATCTTGGTGGTACGGTAGGAGCGACTGAACCTTCCCACCAGTATTCTGTTATATGTTGTTGCTGTGTGACAGATGGCAGCATGGGGGCAGTCTGACAAAATGCGCATGGAGAGAAGATGTGTCACTGAATTCCTCCCTGCGGGAAAAAAATGGCAGCCACTGATATTCATCAGCACTTGCTGAATGCTTATGGGGATCAAACCCATAAGTGGATGTGAGCACAGTGAGGTGATGGGTGGTGCTTTTCAGCAGTGGTGACAGCACCCTGAAAGACAACCCATGTTCCAGATGGCCGTGCACAGCTGTCACACCATGAAAAGAAGTGTCTCGATCCGTGTGAATCATCAACTCATAGAATGGCCTGGGTTGAAAAGGACCTCAAAGATCATCTAGTTTCAACCCCCCTGCTATAAGCAGGGTCACCAACCACCAGACCAGGCTGACCAGAACCACCAACCAGGGAACTGTGTGCAGAACTGAATATTGACTTCTGTGTGTTGCAAACAATGGTGTCGGTGCTGGAATATCTCAAAGTTTGCAAATGCTTGCACAGGAACAGAAAGAACAGCGTATGCGAGTTTGTCAGGAACTACTGAACCAGTACAAGGCTGAAAGTGACAGCTTCCTGGATCACATCGTTACTGGTGATGAGATGTGGTGTCTCCAGTATGAGCTGGAGTCAAAACATCAGTCCATAGAGTGGTGACATGTGAATTCCCCATGGAAGAAGAAGTCCAAGCCATCAGCAGGTGAAGTGATGTGCACTGTCTTTTGGAAAGGGGCTCTGACTGCTACATCACGACACTGACTAAGCTGAAGGCTCAAATTTCCAGAATCCTTCCAGAGAAGACGACAACCTTTCTCATGCAGCATAACACCAGGCTCCATACCAGTCTGAAGACCATGGAGCACACTGCTGGACTGACCTACCA